CTCACATCTATTAAATTGATAGATAAATATTATTCACAATCTTATTTTTAGTTACATTCAAATACGAATTTAAATTTATAGTTTTTATTTTTTACAATTTTTATGACTTTTCATACTATATTAGAGTTAAAAATTAAAAATTATTAATATGTGTTATTATTCTATGAAGAAATAGATTATAGCATTTGAAATTAAGGATATGAGTATATGGATTTTAACATGCATATTACTTGATTTTATATTTATAACATAGAATTTCTTGAGACAACAACTAAAAATTAAAATTTTATATAAACTTAAAAACTTAACATTATTACAAATAATGAAAAAGAGCCTAAATCTTCTATAGTAGATATATAAAAAATTATTAGAAAATACATTTATAATTTAGAATAGATGTTATATTTAAATTATATTTTTTAATAATACAACTAAATTTAGTATATATAAAGGTTTAATATTGATCAATAATCTATATTATATTTAAAATAGTATATGTATTAATTTTTAAGTAATCTTATAGATTATAATTATTTTGATTCAAAGCATGGTTTGAATAATAACAAATACTTATTCAAAACATGTTGATGATGTTGTTTAATTAACTAATATAATCTAATATTGCTAATTTATAACTTGTAAAAAATATAATTATGTAGAAATAAATAGAGTATTTTTTTATAAAGATTAATATTTCTACCTTGAATATAATATACCTAAACTTATCAATATCCCTTTTAATAGCATTCAAAAAAGAATCAAAGGTTTAAAAGTGATTTTAATGATTTTATGGTCACTTCAATTTTTAATTTGAGAAATAGTTAGACAAGATGAGTTTTATGCCTATTAGATCTTATCATCAAGTAATGTTAGAAGTGTAAGAGACTTATTTTGAAATATTCTCTTTTAAAAAATATATATATTAAAAAAAAATTAATTACATGAAAGTTTCTAAAATGATTACATTTCTTATCAATCAATATAAAAAAATTTTGAACTCAAAAGCTGCATGTAACTATAATATTTATTCATATAGAATGCTTACTAAAGTTTTAAAAAATTAAAAGGAATTTAGAAGAAATTTCAATAAATGTAAAGTAAATATTTATAAAATGTCACAAACATATGTATTTATTCTAATAATTACCTATATGATTAGGTAGAAGTAAGTAAATATAGATTAATTTCATAATATCTTTTAGAAAAGCTTCATAGATACAATTTTGACTTTATACATATTTGTAGTTGATTGATAGGCTAGAAACTTGGTCAAAAAATTAACCACGTGGCACACATGTTGATAGCTTGTGGAACAAGCTAACTATGTGGCACATATATAAAAAACTTGTATTACAAGTTAAGACATGTGACTAGCAAAGGAAGGTCCTATAGAACATTTCTATGTAACTCCTAGTTAGATAATATATGTGGAGGCAAGAGTGAAGCCTTCATCACTCTTATCAACACCTTTCTAGCCCTTAGTCTTGTTTCAAGACTTTCTAATCTTCTTGTCTTTAGCAATAGCCATTGTAGTTCAATCTATTACCATCTTTGAGTAATTTTCTAGTCTTTTTGAGTGACACAAGAGTGTATTGAGGATTTCTATCTTTGAGATTCATATCCTTGATATAAAATTATTTGATTTCTTTTCTAACGAATATTTTATAACAAGTTATTCTGTAAAAATAGTAAAACCATTAATAAAGTTTGTGATAAATAATGTACATTAAAGACTTATATAAGTCCCTTCTATTTATAAAGCATGTATTCAATTAAAAAAAAGAATTACAAAATAGAAGAGATTACATTCTTTTGAAGCAATTATCAAATGGAAGGACTTTATTGATAAATATCTCCAAATGAAATCAAGAATATTAAAAAAAAATTATATAATTCTAAGAGAAGTATATAAAATATGTGAAGCACTGGCTTTAGAATTGCATAAAGGTAGGCATATCATTTTCTTTAAAGATTTGAAAGATATTGTTGTATTAGATTTATATTAATTTGGTATTAAAAAATATATAATCTATTTTTAGCATCAACCATGAATACTTGGATATACAAAAGAACCTATTACAAATATGAAAGTCATATAAAGAGAAATAGTCTCAAATTAATACTTAAAAAATCATTCAATAAGAAAAAAAATGCTTCTAAGTAGATTTCAAAAGTGATGTCTTAAGTGGAAATTAAAGATGTGATATATATTATGATGAAAATGAATATATGTTATGAAGAATATTGTCATAGAAAACATATATATATATATATATATATATATATATATATATATATATATATATTCTAGCAATTTTGATAAAGAAAGATAGTTATAACATAAAATATACATTGGTTCTCACTTTTAATGTAAAGATCCAAAGCAGAGATTTTTCATATAAGGTTTTCTTTCCTTGTGTGCAAGTATAATACTTAATTTTGTATAATTATTTGAGTGATTTTTTTCTTGATATAAAAAAATATACAATAATGTATTTTTTATAATGATAGAATTATTATACTTATATTAGCACTTTTTAGATCAATTTCTTGAATATGTATGTATTGAAGGTGGATTTTAAAAGATAATTTGTCTTAAATCTTACTTTGTGTTTAAAGAAAAATTTGGTGGCCTTCACCAAAAATGACATAAAATTTTTAGTAGAGTATAGTAGCCATGTAATGCATATTTAATCATATTGATAGCTATATCAATATTTTAATAAAATCCACCAAAGATTTTATTAAAACTCTTCAATTTATAAATGATTTTTGTCTTTTATCAACTTTTGGTTTTCAAGGTATAACATTATGTAAGAGCCTATTAAGACTTATGCAAGACCAATCTATTAATGTGGCTAAGTTAATTAAAGAAATATTTTTAAAGAATAATTTGAAGATTATATCCATCATTCATATATAAATCTAAGGGATCTTAATGATCATTATAGAGATGAGGTAATAACCTTATTAGATAATGTAGTGTGGAACAAAAAGATTGTGAATAGATGCCATGTTAATGTAGAAATCCCATTGATGGCTTTGAAGCTTGAAAAGAAATATGATGTATCCAAAAGTTGAAGATAGCACATGGTTAAATCAAAATAATAAGTTGTTTAAAGAAGCAACTCATAAAGTTATTAGCTTTAGAAACAAAGAATTCATGAGAATTACATTTAATTAAGTTGAACAATTAAAAGTAGAGATATTGTTCAATAAATTTATAAAGTTAAAAAAATAATTGATTTCATTGATAAGAAAAGAAAAAAAAAATGAAGTTGTAGATAAGTTTAATAAATACATGGATAAGAAGTTGAATGACATGTAATGTAAATTATTGGTAGAAATCTCAAGAAATACTATTAGATTGATCAACCATTTAATCCAAGTACAACAATAATAAATATGTCTTTATATATTTATGTTACAACAATAGACATAGATACATGAGAATGATTAATTGATAGTTTAGTATTGGGATTGAAATTAATGCAATTGCATGTGATGTATGAACATAAAAGAAATTAGTGCAATAAATTTTTATGAGTTTAGAAAGAACATATTGATGAAGGATATAGAAGAGGGACATTAGAATAGTGTTCATTAAAGCTTTAAACTAGGTATAATATATTATTTATATATATCTAATTGAATACATAAGTAGTATGTAGATGTGGTATTATTTTAAACATGGTTAGTTGTAAATCACCACTTGATTGTCTTATTTTTAAATCTATATATATATATATATTTATTTATTTATTTATTTATTTATTTATACAAAAAATTATAACTTTTTTCATAAAAATGTAGAACAAATAATTAAAATTTTCAATGATAAATTATATTACTTGTATATAGAACATAGTGGATTTTATTAAAATTATATAGAAGTTATTAGATTTTGTTAAAATTATGTATAAATTAATATATTTTTTTACATATTATATTATTATGTAAATAATATAAACTTATTAATATTGATATTTTATTATGTTTATTTTTGTAGTATTTAAAAATAATAATAATTAGATATTGAAGCACATTATAACTTTTATTGTCACATATTACATATATAATGAATGAATGAAAATTATTATAACAAGTATATAATAGTTAAATGATTTAAAAACAAATCTATCTTAAAAAACAAATGATTGGTTGTTTTGGCACATTATAATTTTTATTATTATTTTACAAAGTACTATACAAATTGTAGCACTTTAAAAGTGGATAGGAAGATTTGATCAAGGCTTCAAGTCTACTACTTTACACCTTGATGAGGATCAAATCCTTCTCCTTATAATAAAAGAATTCTTTGAAGTAAATTTTAATTTTCTAATAAAAATTCTAATAAATAGAATGTACTTAGTTTTGAATATGAAATTCTTATGGATTTTATTTTTTTCTTATTATTTTTTTTCTTTGATTGTAATTATCAACTAAAAAAATAATTACGAGAATATCTTAAATGATGCTACCTTGTGTTTTGGATAGAGTATGCATTTTATTTTCATAATATAGGTACAATCACAAGTTTTGACATATTTCTAATCTTATAGATCTATGTTATAAACTTTTTACAAAGTCTATAAGTTAACTTTAAAAGTAATCTTATGGACTCATATTTCTTATCTTATAAACTTTGTAAAAATTGACATTTTTTTATTTATCTTTGTATAAATTGGATTTTGAAAATAAATCACAAAAATCCCTCTTGTTTTCTTCTATAATTTATTTTCTTATATATATAACAATTATCTTCTGTATAATTTAGCATATTCACATTCAAAATCTATAACTTTTAAGAAGTATCTAAGAAAAAAATTAAAAACTTGTAGAATGTACACTAACATTTGTTAAATAAGCACTACAATTCCATCCTTATTTGATTGGAGCAACAATTGGACAAATGCTCATAAACACAAGGAGCAGAATCGGCAAATGAACCACCTCTTCTTTACCCCCAGATTGATTAGACATGGTAGCATCTCACCCAATGAATTATGGAGGCGTTGATGATTCATCAATCCAAAATTAAGTTCGTTATTCAATGTACACAAGATTGAATAGCAAATTCTTACCTAGATCTAAGCCAGAGTTCTACCTATCCCAATGTTTCCTTAATTTTGAAACTCTAGGACAACTCTTCGATGGTTAGACCGCCCTAATTATCGTATAAAATCATCGTCCAATTGTCATTTCGACCTTCTCGTCAGTGGTTTGACCAATGGCATTGTTGGCTTTCTTCAGCGGTTGATGAGAGTATCTCCCATTAACGTCCTGGAAATTTGTTATGAACGAAATCACTTAGCAACATTCTCTTTGAAAACCAAAGTCATGTTCTACAAAATCCTCCCAAACAAACCATTCTAGAGATAATTTTCTACTTGAATTTTACATTGTTTGTTAATCGCATTCTATCATCACGCAAACAAATTGTCATAGATGGTGATCGATCAGGATCATACAAAACCTCAAACCGCAGCGTAAGTTCACTTGAGAACAAGATCCGAACAACTGAAGACCTCAAGCCTCGAGGAGGGGTGCAGCTAAGGCATCTTTGCCAACACTATATGGCCCAATTAAGCTTTTAAGGAAAACCAAAAGCATGTAGAAAAAATTGAAAGAGAAAATTAAAAAAAAAAAAAAAAAAAAAAAAAAAAGAAGAAGAAGAAGAAGAAGAAGAAGAAGAAGAAGAAGAGAGAGAAAGAGAGAGGAGACTCGTCATGAACTAGTTGTGACTTAAAAGTTGTACGTAAAAAGATTGATGAGGAAGCCAAGTGCCAAGAAATCAGACTCACTTTTGTAATGATATCGAGCTTTTCCAACTTTACCAGTGCATCATGTACATCAAAGTCGCATTTTTCACCAAATTTTGTGGTCATTAACTCCTCGCACCGCCTATCTAATTCCTACTTGACCCACGCATTACATTTGTTAGTTTGAAAGCACCAGAGTGGAGTTGCTTCGTTTACATTTTCACATGAGAAACATTAGAAACAAGAAACAGGTTTAAATATACAACAGAATACTCAATTTTGGATCCATATAAAGGTCAGAACAACACATTAAAATTGAATAAATAAGTACATTGATTTAATGGATGTGCTCAGATTATCACTCACTTGATCGGTAGCTTTGCCTTGACTCATTAAAACGAAGTAAGCCATGATAACTTCCTTTACCTGGGCAAAAGCAAGTATTGTGAATCTCTACAGTTACGAGCTGCACAAATGTCACCAAAAAGAAATGAAAATAACACATACACACACACACACATATGTATAATCAATCATGTCCATGTAGCGGTGCCAGACCTCTTGTTGGATAACATCATCACATAAATGGAGTATGGTCCCCCTTCCGCTATCAAGTTGCTTGTCATACAAGGATTGAGTGATAAGATTTTGGTACAGCACGAGATTGGCCTGGAATCTGCAAAGCGTTTCAACGAGACCTCCGGTTAAATTTCACAACACAGATCGTACGAACTTATTGTGGTGAGCTACTGACTATGAGTAAGACTGGAGGCCTATACTAAATTCTTCTCAGAAGTAGGCAGATGTAATCTTAACATGAATTTACTTCACTGATTTTAGACAAAAAGCAATGGCAGCAAGCTGCGATGGTCCAATGTTTCACATTTAAAGCATATGGGAGACTCATTGTACAGTTGGCTACTGGATGCTTCAAAACTTTCAACGGTTATTAAGGGGATTGTCAAACAATTAAAAATTATGACACGAAAAAAAGTACACGGTTGAATTTCTTTTCTTCTTTGGAAATGGATTTCTGGATGTAGAATTACATACGTGAAATATATCTTCACAATGTATCCAACAATGCCGCCCAAGATTGCGAGTAGCACCCATACATCACCCTCCCCTACTTCTGTCGAGCCAAACAAAGCAACCTGCACATCATCAGCGTAGGTTAACAAAGCTACATCTGTCAACAAGAAGAACTCATGTCCATTATAAGACCTAAACCAGAATGAAATTCAGAAAATGCCAGATCATAATTGAAACATATAGCTTACCAGGCCAACCAATGCCGATATCAACAACTTGACCCAATCCATAGGTGTCAAACCTGGATTTTTCTTCTCAGGCTGAAACCACACAAAATAAATTTGATTTTATTACTTACTTTAATTACATCTACAGGTCTAGAAGCAAAATAACACATATGCTGATGGTCTAACACTGATGGCAAGCAAAACCGGAAGGATGTTAATAAAAACCAAAATAAGATTTCTGCCTTCTGCTTTTGCACATGCAACGCTATAGCACCGAAGAAAATGCAAAATATATCATACTTGCATATTTTGAAGGCTTTGTACCCTGACCTAAGACATACAGGTGTGAAGTATAGACATTGACAACTTACAAGCACAAGCTCCATGTCTGCCAAAGGAATGTTTCGAAAATGCCGGATGTGTATGGCCCGGTCCCCAAGTGGGTCAATTATATGATGTGGTTTAGAAGCACGCCTGCTCTCGAAAAACAACATACTTAGGTACGTTCCAATATAACATAATTTCAGCAAGGAAATTATTCTCTAATGAGCATCTTACATCCTGATGTTACAAAGAAAGCAAACCACCACAGCACGATACACAGCACAAGAAAGCGTGGCTTTCAAGCTCAATGTAGTCATAACACAAACTATAGTAACCGATTACTTACATGCACAAATATGTGAAACGGGTCCCAACACTACTATTAACTAAACTATCTATACCTGGAACTCAAATGGTATGATTACCTGTAAACTACGATCATGCGGTCAAATGTAGGCTCCTGTACCGTATTTTGAGTGAAGAGATTCTGGAAACTATGTCACAACAACCAAAAGTATGAGTATCACATGATCTGATGATAGGGATGAAAAATGTAATCCTTCAGACTATCAGCTTCTATTGCTTATTAATTTGTACTTCCCCATAAAGCACTTGCAAGAAAAAAGGGACATGCGATAGTAAAGCACTAAGCCAACAGATTAAATGCCAATCTTAGGGCGTACGCCATGTTAGGCTAATCAATTTGAGATGTCTGCTCTTCTAAGACTAAGGATAGAACTTCAAACACGGATGTTTGACATTGAATCTCTGGCATAATTGTCATCTCCGCTCACCTGATATCCATATTCTGAATTCGAATACGTTCAAAGCGGAGATTATGAGCATCAGCTCCTGAATCTTTGTCTTCATTCTGTGTGTTGCCTTGCAGTGTATTCTGGTCTTCAACTCGCTTTCTTGAGAGAGAGTGCACATGAACAAGTTGCTCATTTTTCACCTTCGAAAATCTAATTCAAATACAGATAAGGGTAAGCAAGCAACCACCATCAACTTGAGTTTGAATTCTATGGGGTCTTGACTACATGGATAGGTAAGAACATTACCCCAATTTTTCCAAAAACCAGTTCCAAGTGCGTTCAATGAGGAGATCCAACTTGGGCAGAATGAAGTAATCTGTGGTTTTGTCGATTCCAATTCCACGTCGAAAGATAACGTACTAGGAGCATTAAATAAAAACATGTCAGACATTACCGTATCAACCACTATTAACATCTGAAGTTCTACTACGTCAGAGATATATAGTTAAAGATTGATGTGTCTAAAATGGTAGAGGCAGAAAGCGCATACTTCAAAAGAATTTCCTTGGAGGTTCGAAATGTCTTCTTAGGTATATTTTTATGGATAAGGGATTCCAAGATCCAATTTAAATAGGTTCAGAACTTTCTATGAAGGAATATTCGAGCTTCAGTAAGTAGATTAATATTCCTGATTTTCAAATACCTGATCCGCATACGAAGGCACTTGATCAACTTTGTTTTCTTTGAAAAACGTGGTCAAAAGCTTCTTGTCTAACTGCAGGTCCCAGTGTCATCACGACATACTCTTTAGTAAAAAGAACTTGCTAAAACATCAATCTCTTAACAAAAATCTCACAAATTAAAAATAAAACATGTAAAAAAAAAAAAAAAAAAAATGACAATTTATAGTGGTAGCGATGAACCTAGGATCAAAATCAGAATTCAAAGTCTTGATTTTGCTGAAGTACCTTGGATTTATTAACTGCAATTGGCATGTTCACAAGATACTGGCCTGCATTTGCCAGCTCTACTTCAGCATCGCTGAGTATTTGGAAGTTGCTCTGCTCCATCACCTAATAATCATACTAAAGATGATTTAGACCTACGTAGACTATTCTCAGCAGTGATTTCGAAAGAAACAAGTCTCACGGTGATTGTTTACGTGAAATTAGAAGGCTGTTTGTCTAATTTCAGGACTAATCAGACATGCTCTGATATTCCAAACTGTCACTCCAAGAAGGAATTCATCAAAAGAAAATAAAGAAAACAAAACACGATGGATGGAGGATAAGTACAGCCGAAGAGCGAAGTCATAATAGGTGCACCTGGAACAAGGTTTTCAGGAATCGCTGCTCCATTTTATCGACCTTTGCAGGACTGAGATGCAGTGACTCCAATTTCTTTCGCCCATGAACTGGATCAAAAAGTGAATACAGTTGCTGCGAATTGCAAACATAGGAAAATCAGCCTGACTAATTCCAGGTAGGGGTGATCGGCCTACCGAATCCATCCTTGTCTTACCAGAAAAACGTTGCCCCCTGTTCAGCAAGCTACATCAAAACACTTGCAAGCAAGCAATTAATCTAAAAACAATTCAGTTGCATGGCCTAAATAAAACCAATGATTGACATCGAACCCAAGTACTCTGCGAAGTAAGATGTTCTACTTCAAAACAGAGATCCCACATAGTGGATATTGAACTACCAAAGTTAAATATCCGTTTACTTCTCGATCAACCGATTGAAAATTTCAAAAAGCAGACGGGGTTTCAGAAGCGGTTTAACGAACAAGAGAACACGGGAGACTTAAGATCTTAAGGTAGAGAAAACGTAATATTGGTTTCATCCAGAACAAATATTACATTCACCGCTCCTACTCCAACACAACGTGAAAGTCAATCATAACACATAAAAATACATATGATAAAAAGCTCTCTATTGTAGACTGCCTCAGATACAAATAAAACCTCGATCTTACATTCATCTCTTCAAACTTCAGGTTGTACCAAGCTCGAATTGTTGATTCAATACGTCTGCAAAGGATTTTGAACTCCACTCTCTCATCCGGCCCTGCCAAAAATAAAGGCTAAAGAATCATTCCACAAGATGAAAGCATCCTTCAAGACCAATGCATGCTTATAAACCACAAAGCATTATTCATCTCATCTTCATTAGAATGTAACTAGACAAGTATAGAAACTATTTCATTCTTGAGATTTGGTCAAGTCAGCGGGAGGACAACAAATTTGAGATGAGTGAACAGGCAGATGAAATGTTGAAGAGATCCAATAAGAGAGCAAATGGAAAAAATGCGGAGTTAAGAAGCACACCTATGAGATTGAGCAAGCCATCTATAAGCTTAGATTTGGAGATAACTATAACACTCTCCCGGTCGATCTCCAAGATGTCTTTCCGCGTTTGCATCATCTTGGCACAAAATAATCAAGGCCTACGCAACGAGTACAGCAAAAGATTGTCACATAGTGCATACGAAACGAAAAAGAGAGATAGATACCAATACAGATTGTACCACGCTACACACACTTGATTAGTTCCTAAACGTGCAACTGCACTTGAAACTTTAAAGCAAGACCAGCACATCCCTCATCACTAGACACGTGTAACAGTAATCGAATCTTTAAAATCCAAACTCTAGTGTACGTGCCCTGGCACGTACGAACCAAAGTGCAAAGGTACACGAACAAGATGGTGTGACCTCTCATTTCAAAAAAGTCCTGAAATCATCAAGAGGAGTATCACCGCGGCTGCAAATATCCAAACCTGTGAGTGATTAATTTCTCGGACGTTTACTAAATGAGGGACAAGGTAAGAGACCCCAACTCCGAAGAGTGCATCCCAACATACAAGAAAGCAATGCGACCAGAAATTACGTGCTCCTAACCCTCAGCAGGATACAAGTGCTCACTTTTCAAAATGCGAAAGCACAGAGACACAAACAACAATTTGAAGCCCATCGCTGTGGCACTTAGAAAAAAACATACGCCGAAACTGCTAGCTAGAAAAAAAAAACAAAACAAACAAAACAAAACAAAACAAACAAACAAACCAAAAAAAAAAAAAAAAAAAGGGCAACTCACCTACGCACGGCTAGTTGCCTCACCGTAAATCTCAGACTGCAACAAGCCCGAAAAATAGCCCAATGCAGCTGAAACAAGATTTTTTTAAAAAAAAACCTCTGGCGTCCCGAATCGCGGACTGAATCTCACACCTCCGCCAGCGCGAGATGCAAGAGCGGCAAAGAAAATGATGGACCAAGACCTTCTCCACCCGTATTAGCACATGCAATGAGTCGGGAATTCGATAGAAAACAGCGGAGGAATCGATTCGCGAGGAGATGGATGCGGATTTCTGAGCGCGAGGCGAGTCCCGCGGAAAAGGTCCAAGCAGTGGCCCTTCACCGCCAAGGTCATGTGAGGTTGACGACAAAAGACACTCCAGCCTGGATGTGTGCGTGGCTGCCAACGCAGCGCATCCGGTCTCGCCTGTGGATGCCGAATCCGGATCTTTCTTATAATATAAACCTTGCGCAAACAGATTTAGACAAGTGAGATGGCAGCTTTTAAGGTGCGGCCCAGCCAGGCACCGACATTGGCTCCGAGTGTGTGTGCGGGCACATGAAGAGTACCATCCTCGACAAGCAAGCCCGACAATTCTCTGACCTCGTGGTGCTGTGCTGTGGCGAGGCTAAACCCGGTACACCCGTCGCTCCTCAGATAAGGTCCCTAGCTCCTCCTCTGCCACCATTTATTTCTCTTTCTCCTTCTCCTCCTCGCTCATCCTACGACGATATTCAAGCACACAAAGACGAGAGGATTCGTGGGAGGTTCAAACTTCAACATCCCTGCTTCAAATTAGGGTTCCATCTCCACCTCCACCTCACCTATCCCTTTTCACGCTCACGTCCTTGCCCTCGTCGCTGCCGACGTGCCATTGGGCCACCTCTACCACCCGTGCTTCTTGTCACATCCGACCATGCATTCGCCATCCACCCCTCCATCGACCCATCCACACATCCATCCATCTAAATCTTCATCATTCACTCATCCGCTCTTTCATTCATTATATTCTCACTCGTCGTTTGTCTATTCATCGTTTTCTGTTCATCTGTCTGTTCATCCATGAGATCTGGCTTCTGAGAAGTACTTCTATAATCTGTTTCATGGCTCTTGTTTCGTCCAGTTGTTTGCATTTCACACTTGGATTATTTGACATTCGATGTATTTTCAAATGGAGGTGATTCTTTTCATGTAAAGATAGTTTAACTAAGGTGTATGAGTCGTTTGTGGATGGTTGTGCTGCCAAGAAATGCCAAAAAGAAAGTTCTTTAAAATCAGTAAATGTGTTAATAAAGAGTTAATAAAGAGTTGATATAGAAAACATGTGGATCATTATTAAAGAAAAAATAGTATTTTTATGAATTACCGTAATTTATTGTCAGATGATGTACATGTGTTTTGGGGTAGAATATTGTACCTTGCACAACTGACCACAATAAAGAAAAGTAATAAAAATTAAGTTTTGTATAAATTGAAATGACCAAAATTGAAAATCATGATTTCAATCGGCCTTGCAAGATTTTATTACTTTCTGAGTATGAATTTGTACTTTTTAAACTAAGAAAACATAAATGAATCATTGTAAAAATAAAAAATAAAAACTTGGAAGTAAAACTAATTGGGTTGTATTTCCAAAAATCCTTTACTGTTAAGTGTTTTAAATTTGATCACCAATATAAGTTCAAATGATTTGATTCGAAGTTGAAAATGAAATATGCTTAAAATAGAAAAAGTACACACTAGGCTTTACAATGAATTTCAATAAAAATATATGACTTTTAGAGAAGTTTTAAAAATTCAATAACAATTCTATTACCCTTCTAAATTTCATAGTTATATAAATAAAAAATCATATCAAAGAAACTATAATAATATAAAACGAAATTTAAGAATTCAAACACTTCATATTGTTATCCAAAATAAATACTTTTTGTCTCTTTAAATTAATTACTGAAAAAATATTAAAAGAAAACAGAAAAATAAAATGCCACATACCATGACAAAAGTGTGAAATTAATTGAGCAAAGAAATAAATATATATATATATATATATACACACACATACACAAATATATTTATCACTTGTACTTTGTGCCTGTAAACCACATGAGAATGTCAAACCTGGACATAAAACTTTAAGAGTTTTAATATTTACAAATTAATTGTAATTTTAAAATTTAATTTAAAGATATTTATAAATACATTTTAATGAGTTAGAAACCGCAAACTGTTGTATAAAATCTAGGAAAATCGAAAAAAATAAACAAAAAGAGATAGAGTTTGAAATTTTGGATTACATGAACAATTTTCCAAATAACTTAACAATGTTGATTAAATCATTGTGCCTACATTTATTGGTGAACAACAAATTTACTTTGGGTGAAATCTCCACAAAAAGAATCACCAAATTACCTAAAAATATCAATATATATATATATAGACACATACAAACACAAGTCAATGCCCAGGATAGATTTTTCATTATTCTATAAATGCCTTCAACGTGAAAGTGCTCTAGGGACAAAATGACTTTACAAAGTCAAGCACCTCAAAAGAAAATCAAAGTGAACCTTCAATTGCACATTCCAATTGTGCTTGTGAGTGTGCTTTCCAATCATTTTCATGATCAAATGTAGGTTTGTCAAATTGACATCATTTTTGTTTTCTTCATATATTATTAACCACCCCATTCTTCTCTGACTTGTGTGTCCATTCATTTCTGCAATTCATGACTAAGAAGCAAATGAATTAAGAACACAGGAGAATGGGTGTTTTATGCATCACACAGGTGCATTCGTTGAATAGTCAGGTGATGACTATGTTGATTGTGATTACAGGGTTGATGTGTGGTGCAAATGGTTAATATGCTTTCTGCTCATTCCATATTGGTTTGGGTAATTCCACTAGGAAAACCAAGCATACCCACAAGAGAATTTGGATCCCTTGCAGTGTGTGAGGATCAAACTGAGGTTTCCAAAGATGTAGGTAGATTAGATGTACTCCACATGCAAGCAGGCTCTATTGCAAGGCTGTTTGAGCACCTTCAGCTTGCATGAAGGTGATCACAATGTACCCTTGTAGCATCCAGATCCAGATTATTAGCATATTTGGTTCAATCAAGTAAGCATTCACCCATTTTTGCAATTCAATGCAAGAGGGGTGTTTGGTGGATGCAAAATCTATTAGTACTAGGTGGGCAAGGGATGTGGCTTCCTGCTCAATCTGTGTTTAGGTTTCTAAGGACAGATAAAGGCATAACTTGGGACCAGACGGAAATAGTGTGGCATGTATGGTATTGGATGTGTTGTTCCAAGGCAATACCCGCACAGGTGTTTTAACGTTCCCCATTAGGAGCATCTCCAATCCTAAAAAAACAACCTAAATTGATCTGGCAAGGTACATTGTAGAAGAAAAAATTCAACTAGCAAGAAGGAATTTTAGGATTTGGAGAAACTTCTTGTTTATGTGGCCAAATTCAATGATGTTTGGATTGCCAAGTGTCTGCAATTGTCCTCCTCACGCTTCTCTACTTCCTGCAGCATCATCATGCTCAAAAAATTGCTTTAGGGTGTCCCTTCAGGCACTCACCACCCCGTATGCTTCCTTGAGTGTTTATTCAGAAAAAACTGAGCTTCATCTTAGCTCCGGCCTCCCTTCTTCTTGTGAGCAGTCTCTTTTGACCCAAAGACTCTCACAAACCATGCTTAGAACCTGCTATTCTGCAAACAGTTGTCTTACAAACCAAAACATCACTGGGAAATGGAAGTTGACCTGCTCTATTGCTTTTCTGACACATTTCTGTGCATACCTACCAGCAAAAAGAAAAGTGGAAATAAAGGGAGGAAGAGGAGGAAAAGGAAAGACGGATTGGCCTCCCTTGAGGGCTCTTTTTACACTTAAGGCCAACAACGTGGCCTGGAGTTCTTGTTTTCTCATGCAATTTGTTGAATAGTATCACTTTTCACAATTACTACATATAAAAACATTTTTAATCGAAGAAATAGTATATTTCTTGTTTGTGAATTTATAGGAACTTTTTAATTTATTTGTTCAATTAGCTTCCTCTGTCTTTGTCTATTACAATACTAAGTTAGTTTACCAATTGTGCTTCCATTTCGTCAGAATTGCCAAATAATAAAATACATAAAAATAAAAAAATTTTATCATGATGTATGTGTATGTGTTTACATGTGTGTGTGTGTGTGTGTGTGTGTATATATATCAATATCATGAAAGAGTTTGGAGGCAAGGTAATGATGCACACAGAAGTTATGATTGGTACAACTTGTTTGATGGTTGATGTCAATGTTTTCACAACATGTTGTTTAACACTTTTTAGCTCATTTTCAAGTACCTTGGTTTTGATGTAGACGAATGTTTTCGTTTTTTCAATAAATGTCTTAATTTGTCAACATTCAGCCCCATAGCAAAGAACCAAACAAACAAACATGTTTCCTCAATCCAACGAACACAATCCAACGGTGTGCATTATCGCAAAACATTTTAGGGTTTATCGATACCGACACCGTGAATTCGAAATCACTGGGGCATGCACAGATTCAGCCTGGTCGTGCAAATCCATGGCAGCGATGCTGCAAGATTTCCTTGGTATCCCATCGACGGTTGGGGACTCTGGTGCATGAGTTCAGATCGAGGTGCTGCGAGATGAACCACAATGGATTTCACTAGGGGGCGCCGCAAACGATCGTTGTAGATGTGCTGTGCTTGCGAGCCCTGGAGGCACATCGCCGTTATGAATCTGGAAATTTGAAGGAGTTTCAGATTGTTTCTATCTCTTCCAATGAATTGCAATAAGGTTGCTCTTGTTTGTGTCGCGGTGGTGTAGTGCACAAGATGACGAGGAGTTGGTTTTTTGAAATTGGACGGTTCCCAACTGGGAGGGTGTTGGATCGATGGCCCATACACAGTTGTGTGTTGTAGGCGAGGAGAATACAATTTGGGCCCGTTTGGGTTACAATGTGATTGCTGAAAGCGGATCTCTTGCAGCTCTGTTTGTTTTTGTTTTTGTTACGTAATTTCTGTTTATTTTTGTTTTCTGAGAATGATATGTACGCTGGTCGTGGGTCGTGTCGGTTAATGAGTGGAGACAATTGTCTTCCCCTTCGTACTCGCCAGACCGCGCAGGCCACTTAGTCCTTGTTGGCTGCTCGAGTACAGATCCGACACGAGCGTGGCACTAGGGTGTTCTTTGAAATTGCACGCAAGGGTGACCTTGAATGGTAGCTGCTGACCTCCACCCGCCCACAGCAGTGTAAAGATGCAGCCTGTGCTTTTTATGAGTCTTCTTTCCAATAAGTGTCTCGGGAAGGGGAGAGTGAGTGAGAGAGAGAGACTCCAGTGGAGAGTCGCGGCGGAGCTCTTGTGGACTGGAGCGATGTCGTCTAGAAGGGGCTTGATATCGCTGGATCAGCCCCGAAAGATTGGTCACAATCTTCCCGTGGTGTCGTTGGATAGCATTGAGAATGTCAGGAACGTGGGTGGGATGTCCGTGAAGCATGAGATTAATAGGAAGGATGAAGAATTCGATGCGTCTAGAAAGCCGCCCTTCAGCCTTGGCCAGTTACGAGCCGCCATTCCCAAGCACTGCTGGGAGCGGAGTCTGTCGAGATCTTTCAGCTATGTAGTCAGAGATGTTGCCATTGTAGTGACGCTAGCGTATGTGGCGGTATACTTCGATAGCTGGTTTCTGTGGCCAGTGTATTGGTTGGCACAGGGGACAATGTTTTGGGCGATCTTCGTTCTGGGTCACGACTGTGGGCATGGCAGCTTTTCAAGCAACAAGAGCCTGAACAACCTGGTCGGACACATCCTGCACTCGTTCATTCTGGTGCCATATCACGGGTGGCGCATCAGTCACAGGACACATCATGCCAACCATGGCCACGTCAAGAACGACGAGTCCTGGTACCCGATGACAGAGGGGCTGTTTATCACACTGGATTTCTGGGGCAAATTTGGACGGCTGAACTTTCCGGCTACGCTGTTTGCGTATCCCGCGTACCTCTGGTGGAGAACTCCTGGCAAGTCGGGTTCCCATTTCAATCCGTCCAGCGATTTGTTTGACCCGAGTGAGTGGAAGGAGGTGGCAACGTCGACCACATGCTGGTTGACAATGGTTGCCATCTCGATGACTTCGGTGTCGCAAGTCGGGTTTCTTTTTGTGTTCAAGCTTTACTTCGTCCCCTACATCGTCAACGTGATGTGGTTGGACGCTGTGACCTACCTTCACCACCACGGGTATGAGAAACAAATCCCCTGGTACCGAGGTCAGGAATGGAGTTACCTGCGGGGTGGACTGTCCACCATCGATCGCGACTACGGTTTGTTTAATGAGATCCACCACGACATTGGCACACACGTCGTGCATCACCTCTTCCCTCAGATCCCGCATTATCATTTGCGTGAAGCTACAGCAGCCGTAAGGCCCTTGTTAAAAAGTTACTACCGCGAGCCCCAAAAGTCGGGTCTTTTTCCTCTTCACCTCATCTCTGTCATGATGAAGAGTTTCTCCGAGCATCACTTCGTGGCTGATGAGTGCGATATTGTCTTCTATCAGAAGAGCACAAATGCTAAGTGAGGTTCTCGAGCCTAGAGAAATTTCGCTAATGTTTTTTGCTTCCACCCTACAAATGTGGATCTTTTATCAGGTGGGTCAGTAATCTTGTATTCTACATTAGAATCGGAATGGGAGCCTGTAACTGGTATTATTGACCAATTCTGGAGTTAAAAGACGTCATTTTTGGATTATTCTCCACATGTGGCTCTGTACAATAATAATGATGATCAGTTGCAATTTTATTTGTTTATAGTACCGGTTGTAAACCTTGCAAATCTTGTTTAATGTTTGCTTGTTTGTTTATATAATACCCTCATGGGAGCCTGTAACTGGTATTATTGACCAATTCTGGAGCTGAAACAGTTGCAAATTAGTAAGCATAAAAATGTGTAAATTCAACAGCACGTATGCGCAGAGTATCATGATAGTAAGCAGTGATTTTTTCATTCTGTAGCTTTGGCTATATTGTCTTGTTGATTGTCAGACCTCAAATGGACACTTGCCTACTGCATGAGCACTGATGTGCTTGCACATGAGCTCCATGACTAACGACAAAAGACCTGATTCTTTCCACTAGTCTGCCATCCACTGTTCAATGATAAATCAGATTCTGCCCCACTCTCTTGCAGCACTATTGAAATCTGTAACGGAACTGGAGCCATGTCTGACACAAGTGCACCCTGCAATTGTTGTGAACCTGTTCATATTCCTAAAACAGAATGAAAGCATGAAAACATGATGGATATTATTTGTTGCTAATGAAAGGTGTTGAAAGCCAAGGAAAGGGCACTTCTAAAGTCTTAATTAAGAGTTGGATAAGTCACAACTTTTGGCATGTAAAATGTGGGATATTCAACACTCCTCTTCCAAAAGTGGGACTTAATTCTCTACTGAAACAAGACCTAACATATCCCTATAAATTAGAAATTTATCTCTAAGGAGAGGTTTTGTGAAGATATCTATCGCCATTTGCTCCAAGAGACAATACTTCAAACCAATTTGTCATTTCTCAACACATTATCTAATAAAATGATGTTTTATATCCCAATGCTTTGTACAACCATAGTGTGCTGGATTCTTGGCAATAGCAATTGTATTCTTGTTATTCTCATAAATAAGAATCCTTTTTGGCTCTAAAATGTCATAATTTCTAAATACTTTATAAAGCTACAAAGTCTTCCTTGTTGCAACATCTAAGGCTGCATACTTTGCTTTTATTGACAAAAAAAAACTAAAGATTGTTTCTTGCTTGACTAAGTGATAATTACCTCGTCTAATATAAATGCATAATCTTCTATTGAATAACACATCTCTACACAACCTGCTCTATTTGTATCATTGTAGCCTATATATTGGAAATTTTCTTCTTTTCTTTCATATTATAATACCAAATATTTTGTTCTTTGCAAATAACAAAATATTTGTTTGATTCTTTGCCAATGTAAAACATGTAGATGTGCCATGTATTGAGCAAAGTATTGACAAGAAAATGCAATGTCATACCTTGTATTATTTGCAAGGTACAATAATGAACCTAAAACCTTTTGATAAAGCTTTATTCTTTCTGCATCAAAAAGATCATCATTCTTATACTTAGTGATATGACTTCATACCATTAGTGTAGCAACTATCTTTGCATCTTTCATCCCAAATTCCTCCAACTTTTGACAAATGTACTTAGTTTGGCTTAAACTAATTGTACCATTTTTCTTATCTTGTAAAAAATTAATGCAAAAAAAATCACTAGATTTACCAAGGTCTTTCATCTTATAGTATTCTTTTAATTCATCCTTGTATTTCACAAGGATCTCAAAGTTCTTGTCACCAATAAACACATCATTAACATAAATAATTAATACAATAGCTAATCTATCTATATATATTAAGTATAAATAAGGGTCTAATTTTTAGTACTTCCAATCAAGATTCAATAAAGATTTATCCAAACTCTTATTTTATCTATGTTTAGATTGCTTCACATTGTATAAAGTCTTTAGCAATCGCAATACCTTGTTTTTTTTATTTTGATAGAACTTCCAAACCTTCTAAATTTTTTATATAAATGTCTTCTTCTTTAAGTTTGTCATTTAAATAAGTTGAAGCAACATCAAGTTGTAATATATTTTAATTAAAGTTAGCAACAATTGTAACAAATATATGAATTATTACAAGGCAAGAAATTGGTACAAAATTTTCTTAATAATTAGATTCCTTCACTTAAATAAAATCTTTTGTAACCAATTAAGCTTTAAAAAATTCAATAGAGTCATTATTAGCAAGTTTTTCTTAAAAATCTATTTTGAATCCATAGCCTTCCTACCATTAGCTTAAAATGAAAATTCCCATGTACCATGATCTTTCAAAGAATCAAGTTCTTCTTTTATGGCATGACTCTACTCTTTGCAAAAAAGTGAATTCATGGCTTGTTCAAAAGTCTTTGATTCTATATATTCATTAACATAAACCACATCCACTATTTCAATCGGTAAGACATAATCTCTTAAAATAATTTTTTTTTGTCTTTTTTTCAAAGCATGCAATAATGACTCTATTGAATTTTCTTACTACTGCTTATAATATTTACTAGGTCAATGCCACCTATATGATGATTTCTTGGTAGTAGAGCTTAAGTCATTGCCTATACTTTTGATTGATAGAATTCTACTACTTCTATTGATATAGAATTTGTTTTTTTTTGTTTTTTTTATTTTTATTTTTTAAATCATTTCTCCATCTAGTCTATCATGCACATGTAATCTTAAAGCTTGAGGTTGGTATATTTTTAATTCATTTGGATGTTGAAAATCTAAAATATCAAGATTATTTCTATCATCCATATATTTTCCAATTTTCTCTTGAAGAGTTAGTGATTCACCGAGTAATTCATACTTATTATCAAAAAAGATCACATCTTAACTAAGAATCATATTCTTTTCTTTAGGTAGAAAAATTTCATATCTTTTTGCTACTTCTGAATATCCAACAAAACACCCTTCATTGCTTTTGCATTGAATTTTTGATATTTTTCTTTTGATATATGATACCAAGCAAGAAAATCAAAGCAATGAGCATTTTGAAGAAAAGTTTTTTTACTATAGAAAACTTTATATACTATCTTACTACCAAGTCTTGCAAATAAAAGATGATTGCAAGTCCAAGTCACAAATTTTGTTGCAAATGCCCAATACTGACAATCCACTTTGGTATTATCTAGAAGTATTTGTACTCCTTTAAAAATAATCTACATCATATGCTCTCCTATGCCAATAATTTCATGTGTATATGTAAGAGTGATTATGTGCTAAATGCCTTTAATTTTGAAATAAGAACCAAGCTTACTATTCAAGAATTCAGTGCCTTCATCACTGAGAAAAGTTTTTAACTTTTTTTAAATTTTTCTTTATACATCCGCTTCTCAAGTCTTATTAGTAATATATACTTGGTCATTAATTTAAAATAAAGCAAAGCTATAATAGCCAAAATATTCATCAATGCACATAACTAATCATTTGGCTCCACCAAAAGTAGTCGTATGAAAATAATCAAGATTAAGCACTATTACATCTAAAATATTGTTAGCATATTTATGATTGTATGAAAAAGATTGCCTTTGGGCCTTACCAAAAATGCATGACTCACATATAGGTATTTTATCCTTTTCTCTTATGATTTTTAATCCTTTAATATAATTCATCCTCTTTACATCTCTTATTGTATATTTTGAAGCATGTTCTAATACTTGATGCTATTCAATAAGTATAAAACTTGAAATAGATGAGCTAAAGATTATAGCAACCTCTTCAATTTCACAAGGCATAAGATAAGCTATACATACTAGTATGCCTCATATGAATAAGTTATATGAAGGTAGAATTCAATCAACTTCATATCATGGATATATATATTTATTCTAATATTTATCTATATGATAAAATAAAAGTAGATAAAAGTAGATTCATTTCATAATATTTTTTAGAAATGCTTCTTAGAAGCTTCATAAACACTGCTTTGACTTTACTTGGATTTGTAGTTGATTGATAATTTAAAAACTCAGTCAATAAGTTAACCATATGTTGGTAGCTTAAGGAATAAGCTAACTATGTGGCACACATATAGAAAACTTACTTTGCAAGTTAAGATACATATTTTGTAAAATCAACACATTTTGGAGGTTCTATAAAATATTGCCTCAAAATTTTGAATTAAGAGTATATATAGAAGCAAGAATAAAGCCTTCTCCACTCTTGTCAATGCCTTTCTAACCTTTAGTCTTATTTTAAAACTTTTTAAATCTTGACTTTAGCAATACCTATTTTAGTTTAATAATATATCATTTTTGAATGATTTTTTAGTCTTTTTAAGTGACACAAGAGTATATTGATATTTTAGTTTTTTAAAACTCATGTTGTTGACACCATCTATGATTTCTATATGTACAATGTCATGTTGTAATAACTATATGATGACAATTATATGATGAAAATATAATCAAAAATAAATTTCTAATTAATATTTAATCATCTTGATGTAATAATGATTTAAGATATTTAAACATGGCTTTTATAAAAGCTTCTTAATTTATTTTCTTATCTTAATAGCTAATAGATTAAAGATTGGTTAATTATTTTATCTTTTAGATTGTAGAATTTCTTTTAATACTTTAGAAAGGCCATAAATTAATAAAAATAAGATAGAAGAGGTAAATAATTAGTATGGTTGATACTAGGATTAAGTTGAAAGTAAGGTTGGGCTAAAAAATTCTTAAAATAGGTTAGATTGATACTCGGGGATCAACCATTTGTAGGACAAGGTCGAAATCAAACCTCTAGCTATTAAAACAGCTACCTAAGGCAAAATAGGATAATATTTAAAGACCAACAATTGAGTTATTTCAAAGATGTAAGACTTATTTTCATAGGGTTTGTTTTGACTTTTCAATTATTGTTCAAAGTCAAGGTTTGTATTAGTGACTTGAGATTTATGTAACACAATTAAAGTTAATATTCTTTTTTAGTTTGTAAAATTGGTGTTACATTTATGATTCAAAATTTGATAGTACTTTGTTGATTGGATGTGCTAAGTATGTGTAAAATTTTATATTAATCTAATAGTATAATTGGCAAATATTAGGGTTTTGTTACAAGAAGGTATTAAAAATTGATAGTTTAAGTTTAGATAGGATTTTTATGATATTTGAGATCTATTAATTGGATGAAGGTGAAATTTGGCATAGTATTACAAAAATTCAAG